AAACTGACAACAATCAATTCATAGCTATTGACAATTACACTGAATGTAAACGGATTAAATGTTCCAGTCAAAAGACATAAAGAGAATGGATAAGAAAATAGGATCCTTCAAGATGATGTCTACAAGAGGACATACCAAAAGGATGGAGACAACCTAAGTGCCCATCAACAGAAGAATGGTTAAACCCACTTTGGTATATACACACAGTGGGCTACTATAAAACACTGAAGAATAATGATGAATCTGTGCAACACCTCACAACATGGTTGAACCTGGAGGACATTATGCTGAGTAAAATTAGTCAATCACAAAAGGACAAATATTGTATGAGACCTATGTTGCACAAAATTCAAAAAAAAGGTTTTCTTGACAAAAGAAACAATCCGTGATGGCTACTGGGGGGAAGGGAATGAAGGGGAGGGAAAATCATTCATGAGCTATAGGGCTGTTGTTAAGTGCTTGTAGAGTCAGTTCTGACTCATAAGCCTATATAGTGATTCTTTAGAGCAGTTGGTGGGTTTGAACTGCTGACCTTGTGGTTCACAGTCCAGTGCTTATCCTATCATGCCACTCCCAAATGGGATTAAACCATAAACACAGAAGTGAGGATTTACAAATTCAATCTACAATTGAGGATGAGGCAGAAATCTAAATGGCTAAACTGCAAAAGCAGGTTCAAAAACATCAATTCCAAGCTTCCTGGGAGTGATGAACCACAGAATATTTCAGAGTAATGATTTTTCCATAATGAGTCGGCATAAAGTGTAAGTCACCTTTTCTGTGGGGCAAAACCCAACAATGCCCGATTTAGGACAATGAAAGGAATTCACTTTAAGCAGACTTCGGTGTCTCAAACAGGATTAAACTTCACACCCCTATTATACTCACTATAACAAGTCCGCTAAAGGTGACACACAGCCGGAGGTTATGATTTGATCCACCACATTCTGGTCAAATTAAGGTCAAAACCTATTCCTCAAGCATGTTGATACCCCCAGCCCAGAGTCTGTACTTGCCCACTTGGATACTTGCAGAATGAATTATTCCTGTAATCATTGAAATTATGTATCCACAGAAGCCATAAATGCAAGAACACATTGCAAATTAATGTTTTCAGACTAATTCCTAAAGCAAAACACTTCCTGTGGCACAGATCCTCTACGATGACAATGTTAAAATTATCTCCCCAAATCTATTTCTCAGTCTTTTCTTAGAGACAAACAGGCTGAGGCATAGCATAGATTGTGCTGTTGGCCCAGGACCAGGCAGTGTTCCATTTTGTTGTGCACAGGGTCCCTATGAGTCAATACCGACTCCATGACCCCTAACTACAACTAAGGCCAGACCAAGTCCTGGTGTGATGCCGTGGGATAAAGCACGGGACCACAAGGTCAGTCTGAACCACAAAGTTGGTTCAAACTCATCAGCTGCTCCTTGGAAACCCTACACAGGGTGGCTATCAGTTGGAACTGACTTGATGGCACTTGACAACGAAAGTCAGACAGACAAAGCAGTTTCAAAATATTACCTTGCAGGTTATTATCAAGAAAGCCACCTTTTTAGTGAAGGATCTGTCTGGTAGACACCACCTTCACCAAGTCATCAAACTTCGCATTATGACTGAAGGAATGAACAGACGATCAACATCTGATGTGATACAATGGAAATAGACAATATTACCATGTATATTCTGACTGAAAAAGTTTCATTCGAATTTAATGATGACGAAGCAATCAGAAACACCTGTATTGCAAACATTGTACAAAACAATAAACCTGAGCATTAAAAAAATTATCAATCTCAATAAATTGAAACAGAGAGACTATCTTGAGGTTGTTGTTGTTGTTGTTAGGTGCCATTGAGTCAGTACCAACTCATAGCGACCTTATGCACAGCAAAACGAAACACTGCTCGATCCTGGGCCAACCTCACAATTGTTCCCACGCCTGACCCCATTGATGCTGCCATTTTACAATCCATCTCGCTGGGGGTCTTCCTCTTTTTCTCTGACCCTCCACCTTACCAAACATGATATCCTTCTCCAGTGACTGGTCCCTCCTGACAACATGTCCGAAGTATGAGAGACCAAGTTTGGCCATCCCGGCCTCCAATGAGTACTCTGGCTGCACTTCTTCCAACACAGAACTGTTGGTTCTTTTGGCAGCCCATGGCACTTTCAATATCCTCCTCTAACACCATAACTCAAAAGCATCAATTCTTCTACTTGAGGTTAGACAACATCTTGAGGTTAGACAACATGAAAATACATGGTAACTAAATGCAATGTATAATCTTAGAATTATAACAAACAAACAAACCATAAAAATTATTCAGGTGCTTGGGGAAATTTAAGAAAGATTTGTATATTAGATAGCATTATTTGATCACTATTGAATTGTTTGGGTATGATAGTTTTGCGGTTGTTATAAAAATGTCCTTGTTTAAAAGATACACATTCAGTATGAGGGGTCAAGTTGCATGACATCTGCAACTGTCTTTCAAATGGCCTGCAAAAAATTTAAATGTGGCTGTGCTTATGTGGTGCTGTAGGATAAGTACTAGACTGCAAGGTAGATTTCAACCACAAGGTCGGCAGTTCAAACTCACTAGCCACTCCTCAGAAACCCTACACAGGATGGCTAATAGTTGGACTGATTCAACAGCAATAATGAACATACAGAAACGTGTGTATATACACATATATGTATATGTATATATATGTATACACACGTGTATACACGCATATATTTAAAGAAATAAAAGTACCAAAATATTTATAAGGCAATTAATATTAATGTAAAAATGATACATGAAATTCACTATGCTAGGAATAAGGTGTGCCTGACCCAGGCAATAGTATTGTCAATAACCTCATATGATATGAACGTTGGACAGTGACTATGGAAGATCATAGAAGAATTGATGTATATGAGTTATGGTGTTAGAGGACATTATTAAAAATACCATGGACTGCCAATTGAACAAACCAATCTATGTTGTAAGAAGTACAACCAGAATGCTCCGTGGAAGCCATGATGGCCAAACTTCATCTCTCATACTTCGGATGTGAGGGAACGGTCCCTGGAGAAGGATATCATGTTTGGTAAAGTGGAGGGTCAGAGAAAAAGAGGAAGACCCCCAACCAGATGGATTGGCCAAGTGGCAGCAATGGGCTCAAATGTAGCAACGATTGTGAGGTTGGCACAGGACCAGCCACGTTTCGTTCTGTTGTGCAGTGTCCCTATGAGTCAGCATGAATTCATTGACAACTAATAACAGTCTTTCAAATCTTCACTAAGTTTGAAGTTTCTCAAAATACTTGGGGGTGGGAGGGGATAAGGAAGCAAAAACAAACTAACCTAGTCCAGAAATGTCTACAGACTTCTTAAACATTATTTTTCAGATAAGGTCTCAAGAACATCAAGTTATTTTTGTCATTAGGGTTAGGAGGTCCCAGGATCATCTGAAATCATTATTTTACCTTTTAAAGCTAACACATGCATCTGCCCCAACATTGTTGTTTTTCTAAGCTGCCCTCCAGGTGGCCTGACTCCTGGCAACTCCATGAACAAGGGAATGAAACACTGTTGTCTCCCGTGCCATCGTCAAGATTAGACTGCACACCAGAATGCTGCAATCCATAGGGTTTTCATTGGCTGACTTTAGGAAGCGTATGGTCCTATCTTTCTCCCTTGTCTTACTCTGGAAGCGCCACTGAAACTTGTTCAGCATCATAGCAATACAGAAGCTTCCACTAGCGTGCACTAGCCAGGAATCGAATCTAGTTCTCCCACATAGAAAACAAGAATTCTATCCCTCAAGGACTCTATCAGCCACATCACAAACGTGTTGGGAGCAAACTGCTAGCCAGGTGATAATACAGCATATCCCACTTGTCCACTGAATGGCGCCCAGCAGTCTCTGCCCGATGGCAGAGAGATCACAGGCGCTTTGTCTGTGAGTGTAGTCAGTAATCCTAGCCTCTTTTCTCTGTCTCAGATCCATGATCTCTTGTTGTTCACTAAGACAAGATACTAGTCAAAGCAGATGCTGGGAAGCCCTCATCTCAACCTTCAAACGTCACTTGTCCATCTTCTTGCCTTTAAAGGTCCGACGCAAATATATGAGAACCTGCCCCTCCTTCCTATCACTCCCCAAAACGTTATTCATCTTCCTAGGTAAAATAATTTCTCAACTTTCCAAGCACTCTTGTTGTTGTTGTTGTTAAGTGCTGTTGAGTCAGTTCCAACTCATAGCGACCCTGTATAGGGTGGGTTTCCAAGAAGCAGCTGGTGGGTTTGAACCGCCAACTTTGTGGTTCGCAGTCCAGTGCTGATCCTACAGCGCCACACCAAGAGTCATAGTTTTCTATTATGATTTCGCCAAGCCCTTTAATCCAGGTTCAGCAGCCGCTTTAGGGAAAGGGGGGCGTTAAAAGAGTTAAACAGGACGGGGGAACTCAAATTTAGGATGTGTGACTAGAAGATACCCGGCAACAGGTCCCACAAAGTGATTCCTAAAAAGAAAAGCGGGTAAAGTGCACGAATTCGGATAGAGGTGTAAGCGTTTCTCCTGGTGCAAGACAGGAAAAGGAGACTGTGTTCTGTGTCTCATCCTGGCCTAAATCATTCAGCGTCCGCACCGCCAAAGCCAGTTTCCTCCGACCAGAGAGCCCAGGCGCCATAAGTGCCCCAACTAGGCGGGGACCTGGCTCTGAAGGATTCACCTCTGAACCGGACGTTCGAAAAATCCAAACATCCGAGGTGCCCGAGCTCGCCGAGCTCGCCCCCTCTCCTTCCCCTCATTTCTCGGGTCTTCCCTCCGACCTTGTCCCTAGGGGTCTGGGGACCGTCCAGCTCTCGACAGCCCAAGCGGGAGGCTCCTTCCGGAAGGAAAACAGCCTCCACCAGGACGGATAGCAGGACCGAACGAAGCCCGGTACCCCTCACCCCCACCCCACAGGCGTGATGCAGTGCGCAGGCGCGGGGCGGGGCCGGTACCTGGGAAGGAGCAGAGAGAAGTGGAGTTGGGGCACAGGGTCCCGTTGCCCACCCGCGGCACTAGCTTCAGGCTGAGGATCTGCTGCAAGAGTCCTGTTGCCGCCCCGCCGCCGCTACCTTCGTGCTCCATCTCGCCGCCATTCACTGAGGAAAGATGAGGGGAGAGCACCCGAAGTACTGCAGGAGCTCTCTCTCACTCAGGGCCCGCTCCTCTCCCAGAACCTCTACCACTCAGCGTCACCTTTACTGGGGCCCTCTTCTTCGTTCTACCCCAACCCCAAAGGCGCTGCCAAGGGACAGTTCCTCCTTCCAATCATAGGGCACAGCCTATGAAGGGGCGGGGCGAACGTTGTTCCCGCCCCTGACGCTGCGTACAGCTCACGCCTTGCCCTATGGGCTCCGCCCCCTCTCGACTCTGCTCTACTCTGCAGTGCCACCTATAAAAAGGTAGGTGAACTGCAGATGCCCCACTAGACCAATTGTCAAGTCGGTTCTGACCCATAGCGACCTTGTAGAGGATTTCCAAGGAGAGACTGGTGAGCTTGAACCGCCAACCTTGCAGTTCAAACGGACTTTGCAGTCTAGGGCACTAACCCATAGCGCCACACCGGGACTCCTAGACCAAAGAATCCAAAAAAACCCACTGCTATTTTAGTGGATTCAGACTCCTATCAAATCTGTGTAGGATTCCGGAGACTAAAGAACAGAAAGCCTCATCTTTCTTCCGAGGAGAGGCTGCTGAGTTTGAACTGCAGACCTTGAGGTTAGCAGCCCAGGGCTTATCCTCCAGTGCCACTTAAATAGAGATGTAGATTAAAACACATTTGGCAAAGCAAAGATCCAAACAGATTTGTAATGACTGTTTTGGCTAGAACTAGACCAGTATCTCTGACACTTTGATGAAGAGAAGCAGGAAGTCCTTATGTGAAGCTGACAGCATAAATGTACCATTTTCGGACTCAGAGGGCATGGATAGGAAAAAAACAAAGACCACTGCCACGGAGTCCACTCCAACTCATAGCGGCACTATATAGGGTTTCCAAGACCATAAAGCTTTGTGGTAGCAGACAGCTCCATCTTTCTTCCATGGAGCCACTATTGGGTTTGAACTGTCAACGTGTGGTTAGAAGTCCAGTGCTTAACCTACAGTATCACCAGGAAATATATATACATATTTGTTGTTAAATACCGAGGAGTTGTTTCCGACTCACAGGGTTTCCTAGGCTGTAAATCTTAACGCGAGCAGAACGCCTCATCTTTTATATATATATATATATATATATATATATATGCTTCAAAAAGTTTCTGGGGAAATTCCACTATCTTTCTATTCCATTTTTCCACGAATTTTTTGAAGCCCCCTCGTATTTGTCTTTGGATAGTACTACAAAGCTTAAATAAAAAATTTTAAAGAGGCTCCAGTTCCAAATGGCAAAATCAAATCACACATTTTATACTCATCTCCCCTCAGAGACCCTATTACTATGAAAGCAAAGAAACTGTATAAATAGGCTGTTAACAATGGAGTCCTAGAAGGGATATTATTAAGGATATAAGTTGTTCCAACAAAGTTTCATGAGACCCAGAAGGTCTTGGTGGATTACGGTTGTTGTTTTTTATCAGATCCCACTGAGTCTGTTGTGAGTTAAAGCAACACTATGCACAACAGAACTAAACACTGCTTCTGCACCATCCACACAATTGAGCCATTGTGTTACTGCCACGGTAGTGTGGCACTATAAGGTAAACACTGGAATCTTTAGGTCAGCAGCTCCTCAGAAACTCTGTACAGAATTGCTGAGTCTAAACCAACTCAACACCATTTAACATCTTGTCTCCCTTCAACATGTCAGACCCTGCCTACCTCACTGTCAGTTCCCATCACTGAGGTCATACCCCAGCTCACCACCACAATCCCTTCTGGCAACAGTTCCTGGTTTTCAGAGGTTGTTGTTGTTGTGAAGTGCTGTCGAGTCGGTTCTGACACATAGCAACCCTGTATAGGGTTTCCAAGGAGCAGCTGGTGAGCTTGAACCGCGGACCTTGCAGTTCGAATGGCTTTGCAGTCTGGCGCATTAACCTACAGAGCCACACAAAGGGAACATGATTCTGATGGCAGCTGTCACAGTTCCCAGCCCCAGTTCTGTGTCCTGGTGTGACTTAGGGTACTGTTTCTATTTGTGTAGATTCCAACCTGCTTCCCGAACCTTCCTGGAGTTCTGTCAACTTTTTTTTTTTTTTTTCAATATTAACAGAGCTCATACTGAATCTCATTTCCTGAGCTCAGGTGTAAACCTTCAACACCATCTCTTTAGTTTAAACCCACTGCTTCCAGATCTCGGTGGTGTGGCTTGCTAGAGACCGTGTGCTGTTTTTCTCCAGGGCCTGGTCCTGAATGACCAAGGGTAGTAGAATCACCCCAGGGCCTTTTCTTCCAAGCCCAATCCAGTTACACTAACCCTGCCTCACCTGCCTCCCAGGTACAGATCTTGTTGCCAACCACACTCTGCTGAGAGCTACACCTGGCTTGCTGCCCAGGCCTCCCCAGGCCATTAGCCAGCTTGTCCCTGTTTCTTTTCCTTCTCACTGTCTCCTTCCAGGCAGGTCCCAGATCCTGCAATCTGGACCCACAACTCATCACACCTTGTGCAGTTCCCAACTGTGACCCTGGCCTCAGCTGCCTGCTGTTCCCTAAAGTAAATAAACCAGCTACCACGATGGAGTCCATTCGAGGACATGGTGACCACATGCACATCAGGGTTTTCAATGGTTTATTTTTCAGAAGATTACCAAGCCTCTCTTCCAAGGTTTCTATGGGAGAGCAAACTTCCAACCTTGTAATTAGCATGAAGCACATTAATGGTTGGCAACACCCACTCTATAGTAATTGTTGTTGTTGTTGTTAAGTGCTGTCGAGTTGATCCCGACGCAAAGCGACCTTGTATAGGGTTTCTGAGGAGCGGCTGGTGAGCTTGAACCGCCGACCTTACAGTTCAAATGGCTTTGCAGTCTGGCGCATTAAGCAAGTGTGTGTGTGTGGGGGGGGCTGTGTGCTGACGACCTGGGGGGGGGGGGGCTGGGCGTGTAAGAGGCGAGATCTGACCAGTCTCTGCTCAGGAGACAGGTTTATTCAAGTCAAACTTACCCTTTTCTTCTATTCCCACTGCAACCCCAGAGCAAAATCCTTAATCCTCCTACCCACTGTGTGCCCTTGAATAAGTCCCTTCACTTCTAGTTCTCGCTTGGGAAATGTTACAGCCGTACATTTTTATATGTATTAGACAGGTTAATCATTGTATTTATTTACTTAGGTATGCTCCTGTCCAAACAAATTAAAGCTCCCCACACCTGGGCCATGGTGGTATGTGAGCTCCTGGAAAGTGAGTCAGAGACAGGCTAACAGGAGCCCACAAGACAAGAAGCGTCTCGTTTGATTTCTCATTGAAGATCCAGTTGAATCCAAACACCCACTACTTTGATGGAGTGTGTCCGAGGGGTTCAAGGTTGGGACTGGATGTGTATTGGAGGGAACGGCACAGACTTCAAGGAGCCGAATACCACAGCCCCCTTCAACTCCGTACTGGGCTGGGGCACCTTCTCAGGTACCGGATGAGGCATCCCTGGGAGTAGAGTTAAGTGCCAACTCATTGGGGCCGACTCCCTATGCCCAGAGGGATGGCGGGCCAAAGTTCCACTTTCCTTGACTAGTGTGCACGAGGCTACCCAGCTCCTAAAGAAGTCTCAAAGGCGTCACTAAGTGGGGGACCTAAGGGCCCTCTGTCCTTTTCTACGGTAAGAGTGGATCCGCCCTCAGGCCCCTCCCACCCACACGTGCCTCCAGGAACTGACAGTCCCAGCTAAGGCCTGGAGTGCTCAGGGCAGCTGTGGCCTACGTCCAGCTGAAGCTGCTCTGGCCGCGTGGCAGGACCAAGTCCAGGGAGAGGTCATGCTGCTCGTCCTCGGTGGTGACAGGCCGGTAGCCCAGCAGCTCCAGTGCACCAGCGCACAGTTCCTGCACGCGGCGGATCTTGGAGAAGGGCAGCACTTGGCGCCAGGCCTGCGTGACGTTGAGAGCGTCCCTGGATGTGGTCTTGAAGGCCTCTTGCAGCACACTGGGCCCGGCACCGTGTGTGAGATTGTGGATCCAGGTCTCGAGCTGCGGCGTTAAGGGCAGACCGGCGAAAGCATAGAGCGCACGGATCTCCGAGAGAGGCGCCCGTGCCAGGTCCTCAAAGCGTACCAGGCGGTAGCGGTCCCTCAGGAAGGGCTTCGGCTTGAGCGTGGCGGCCTCGGCAATGCGCACGTGACTGCGGCACACCTCGCGCATCACGCTCAGGTCTGGATCGTCCTCAACCCACTTGCCATTGGTGCCCAGCACGATGCCATTGTCACGTGCCAGCGCCTTGGCCGCTCGTTCACGTGAGCGCAGCACGGCCCGAGGGTCGCGCACCAGGTGCACTATATGCAGGTTGAGCGCGGGATCCCGGAGCAGTGGGTAGAGCACCTGCAGGTTGAAGAAGCGCACCTCCTTGAGCACCACATGGCTGTAGGAGCGGCAGGCCTCCTCCACCTGGGCAAAAGGCTGCCGCGCACACAGCGGTTTGCACACGAACTCGCTGCTGATGGCGCCACTGGGGAAGGCGCTGCAAGCAGGTGGTGAACACAGCGCCCGGCTCACAGACCACTGGAAGAGGTCCGACAGGTTACGGCGCCACGGTAGGTAAGCATCAAACACGGCCATGTCACACAGGAAGATGGAGCGCACCAAGTCCCGCACAGCCATGTGCAGCGCTGGAGCGCTACCCTGCGATAGGGCGGTCCACACGTGCCAGCCAGGCTCCATCAGGTAGAAGACGTCGGGGTGCTGGCTAAAGAGTTGGCCCACCAAGGACGAGCCCGAGCGCCACGAGGACAGGACCAGCACGTGTACGCGCTCCTGGCTGTCTGCTGGGGATGGTGGTTCAGGCCATATAGGCCGGGAGACCAGGAAGATCAGGAGGACCGACTGCGTCAGCAGGAGCACAGTCACAGCTGTGCTGGAGACGCGTGGCAGCCACATGTTGCCGGCGGAGGCCTGAGGGGAGAGAGTGCAGTGAATCAAGAAAAGGCAGGGCCCACCAAAAAAAGATCTCATTTGGAATTCCAGGGAAGCTAGAGATGAGGATGGGAGTGGATTCCCTACTAGCATGAATACTCCTCTAGGCTCCTTGTTTGAGTCCCTATCATTCAAGTAAAAAAAAAACAAAAAAAAAAAACCACCCACTATTGGAGGCGGGGCTTGATGGCAGATAGGGTAGAAGTGGAGTGAAGATCTCCATCAGCAATAACACAGAATACCAGATTCAGCAGGTTCAGGGGAGAGCTCCAAATCTCTGAACCACATATATAGGCATATTTTTAAAGTTTGAAGACTTTGGTACTGGTACAATGAAGGATACATTGATCAAAAGAACAAAATCGAGACTCCAGAAATTAACACATCCACATACAACCAACTGAGTTTTGACAAAGTGCCTAGGTATATTGCATGGGAAGGGGATAGTCTCTTTAAAGATTGTGTTAGCAGAACTGGAAAGCGATATACAAATGAATGAAACAAGACCTTCACCTCACACCCTATGCAAAAACTGACTCAGCATGGATTAAAGATCCAAAATTATGAAGGTCATCAATGAAAAAATAGGGACATATGTGAGGGCTCTAATACAGGGACTACACAGACTACCAAATATTTTGAAAATGACACAAACATAAGTAGACAAAATAGATGATTGGGACATACTAAAAATTAAAAACGTACGTGCATCAAAAAACTTCACCAAAAGAGTAAAAAGGGAACCTACAGAATGGGAAAAAATATTTTGCAACAACACATCAGACAAGGGACTCATTTCTAAAATATATAGGAAACTACAACACCTCTACAAGAAAAAGACAAATAACCCAATTAAAAAATGGGCACAGGACATGAACAGACACTTCACCAAGGAGGAGATCCAGGCAGCCAACAAACATATGAAGAAATATTCACGATCACTAGCCATTAGAGACATGCACATCAAAACAACAAGGAGATATCATCTCACACCAGCAGTAACAGCAAAGATCAAAACTAGAGTACAATAAATGCTGGCCAGGATGCGGAGAGACTGGGACACTCCTACATTGTTGGTGGGATTGCAAAATGGTCCAACCACTCTGGAAAGCAATATGGCGTTTTCTCAGAAGGTTGGAAATAGAATACCTTATGATCCAGCAATTCCTCTGCTTGGTATTCACCCACAAGAAATACAAGCCATAATACATGAGTAGATATATGCACACCAATGTTCATAGCAGCACTATTTACAATAGCAAAAAGATGGAGACAGCTTTAGTGCCCATCAATTGAAGAATGGATAAACAAACTGTGGTACACACACACACATTGGAATACTATGCTACCTTGAAGAACAACAAGGAAGCTGCAAGCCACCGCATAACATGGATGAACTTTGAGGACATTATGCTGAGTGAAATTAGACACAAAAGGAGAAATACTGCATAGGACCACTACTGTAAAAGACTAAGAAAAAAGAACCCATACTAAAAGGGGGGCGGGGGGGAATTCTTTGCTGGTTACCGGCATGTGTAGGGTGGGGTGAGGGGAGGGAGGGGAAGGTGCAGCACAGGATAGGGAATAGACACAGGATAGTTTGGGTGCTGGGGAGGGGGCAATACACAAGAAGGGGGGAAGGGAAAGGAAGAATAAGGCGGATGGGAGAACAATTAGGTTTGCATGGGCTTAGTGGGTCAGCGGTAAATAATGATGTAACAACCTTGGAACAACAGGGCTCTGGGATACAGGGATTGAGACATGGTTTGAATGGATAAAAGAGGAAAAATAATGTTAAGATGCTTGGCTATCTTTTGAATGTGGTTTCCCTTGCATACCATTGTAAAACAGACACTTGAGGGGGAGAGAAGGGAATAGCCTGAAATATCACCATAGAAAGCTTATAAATCCATCTTCTGCCTATAACTGATTGGAATACCTACAATGGGGTTACAACTTGTCCAGTGAAGGAGGCTTCCTGTGGAGCCTCTGCATTACGTAAGACCATAGGTGGAATCCTGAACCCCATCCAGAATCTTCTGAGGTGGGAACTCCCCACTTGAAAGGACAAGTAGACCAGCCTGGAGTGGCTAGAAGAACAGAAGATACGTCTTGAAAGAAAGACCGACAGGAAAAATACAAAACAATAACGGCAGTCCAACTGACTACTACAAGAACAAGCAAATTGCTCACCAAGGAGACGTCAAGGTAAGTGGTCAGGTCCCCTCAGGGCAAACCCCCTTCCAAGACTAAGACTCAAGGGGAATACATGAGCAGACATGAGCTCTGATTGGTGACCACGTTGATCACCAATAAGGGGAAGTGAAGGAAAAACAGCAATGAAGCTGCGAGCTAAGCTTGACCACGTTCCATAGACTCCTGTAAACCCAGGTGGAGACCTGGTTGGCCAGCAGTATGGCAAGACTTGGGGACTCCTGGGCTCAGAGTCAGTGACATAGCCACAGAGGACTAGAGTAGAGAGTATCCAGCTGATAAGAAGTGAGGACATATACACAAGAACATCCACACTTGCAGATAATAGCCACTTGACCTGGCTTCAATGACTGGATGATCAGAACTCGACTAGAAGAAGAAAGAAGAGGGAAAAAAGAGTAATTTGATACAATTTGATGAACTTGGTCTATACTTATGGATGCATTAGCTTCAAAAAGGGAACAAATCTTTATAGTGAGGATCATTCCTTCCCCCTCTATACACAGAATAGACAGTGATGTTCAACTTGGACATTGGCTACCCAAAAGTGGGGGGCAACAAAGGAAAGAGGTGACTGGCTTACAAGCTTTCAAGAGGGAGCCTAGACCCAGAGGGTGTGGAGGAAGGTAGAATCTCCACTGAGTAGTAGCCAATCTGTCTGGGTGGGGCTAATGAAGGGAGATGGAGATAGGACTGTTGTGGTACAACAGTGAATAATTGTTATCAGGACTGACTGTGAGGGTTGAAAATGTAAAGGTAGATGTTTTGTAGCAAAAGGGAGTGGCTGACTTTGCAGTCCAGGAGTGGAGGTCCCTGGGACCATCAAGGGAGAAGAGCAAAGTGCGGGACCCTACCCAGAGAAGCAGTGAAGCCAGAGATGGAAGCAGAGACAATGACGTGGAGAGATGGAGCGACTGGGGATTCTAGACCCAGAGAGGGAGAGGGGCTTTGTGCTGACGACCAAGGGGCAGGTTTACGGGGTATACCCTTTGGTTGTTTGATGATGCATGGAGGGGATTATAATCATTGCAATGAAACAATATATGATAGGATGAAGGTAAAGCTAATGTTCTCCAATGTAAACTATCACATAATTCACAATAAAAACTTAAAAAAACAACAACACCCATCTACTATTGCCATCACCTTGAAGGTGCCCTTGGGGTGGTGTGAGTTTGCAGAAAAGACCAGTGAAGGGAGACGTTGGACAGTCAGAAGTGGGTAGAGGAGAGCAGAGCTATGCTCCCTCCTGGCTACTTGGCCCTTCTTGGCTGTGAATTCACAAAGCTGTCCAGGGCTGCTGGGCAACCTGACTACACTGATCCAGGGGAGACACCAGCAGGTTCCTCAGGAGCTGAGGACATAAAGGCAGGAGCAAAGGCCAAAGGAGACAGGGGAAGGAAAATTCCCCACAAGTGGGCCTGGTGCTGCCCTGCCCCTGGCCTGAGCTGAGCATGAACCAGGGGCTCCAAATCTTCTTCCAGATGGGTATAAACTGTTAGGTCAAGGAGAGAGCTGAGTTAGAACAAGGACTGGCTGTGAGGCCAAGCGCTGCCACTTAAAGTGTTTGGACCAGTGTTGGAGGGCTCAAATTGCTCAATAGAAGACAGATTGCAACATTCCACCTCCTAGGACTGTTGTAGGGAGGAATCTTCTCCCCACGGGGGTGTCTTCACCCAGATGAGATACCAGCACCAACCACACAGGCAAATGCCATCACCCCCCAGGCCCACCTCCAGCCCCAACTACCACTGGGCTCTTCAGTGGATCCTACAATGTCAGGCTTGTCCCACAGGACAGGAGGAACATACCCCGAGGTCCTTTCAGGTTCTGTTTTCTCCTAGTGCCCTACAAAATCACAAGGCACAGCCACTTTGGACAAGAGGGGCAAGGGTTCCTTCTTGCTTTTACAGCATTTTCTTCCCACTCACCTCCCTCCTCAACCCATGTCTATAGCATAGAGAGAAGCTGGGCTCTACACTGTGAACACAACTCACCTCTGCTCCTTGCCCTCATCGGGAAACTGCAGGGTGAGTGGAGAATGCTGGGTCTAGGACCACCCCCTGGACTCCACACCCACCCTGGGAAACCTGGAAGAAGAGGGGCTGCTCTGTGAATGTGATGTCTTTCCCAAGTACTGACTGATGGGTAGGGGTGGGGTTGGAGAGTGGGCTTCCCCTGAGAACAGAGGTAGAAGTGAGGAAGGGAACTCATGTTTGCTAACAAATGACCACACAGACAAGAGCTAGATGCCTGACATCACCCCATGATTAAACTCAACAGCCCAAAGGTGACCATTAGGACTCAAGACTCAGGTAACAAGAAACTGGCACCTGAACTCAGTTTCCTGGCATTTTCCGACCACACATAGCTGGTCCCTCCCACCCCTGGGTGCCCAGGCCCTGCAGAATATGGAACCCTGATGTTCCCACCTAGATACAGCTGCCTCAGCCAGTCCAGCCCTCCCCCAGGAGTGGGAATACCGACCCCAATCCCAGGGTCACCTGTGTTCCAGGGAAGCCAGAGGTCTTAAGTGACTGAAGATCAGAGACACTGCTATCTGATCCTTCACTGGAACAAGAGCTATTGAAGGGAAAAGGAGCATTTATGCCACTCAGGTCACAGCAGGGAGCTTGCTGATAAGGAACCTTTTGTTCAGCAAGCCCACCAATCACCCTGAGATTCAAAAGAGGAAGAACAAGTCTGGTATGCACTGTAATCTTAATCACTGTGCACATTGTTTCCAGGAT